AACACACACCCGCGCCTGCCTGAGTCTGTATGCAGCCACCCCCTGCCAGCATGGTCAGCCGCTCCACTCTCGGGTCCCCGGGTCACAGGCTCTGGCATCTTGGGTCCCGACGTCCTTGCTGGTCTCCAGGAGACCTGGTCGGGTCACAGGACAGCTCCACCCGGGGTGTGTCTGGCATCTTTAGCGGGGCCCAGCAGGGAGGTGTGTGTTGTGGGGGACACAGGGCATCGCAGGCACCCACCTGTGACACGAGCTGTCACCGGAGGAGCTGGCTGAGGCCCCAGCCAAGGCTGTGCTGATTTCTCCTTCCTCTCTGTTATACTGGTCTCTTCTCGGGGAGCCAAGCACCCTGCCCCGCTGAAGAACCAGGTGTATACACTCGGCCTCCCTGGGCCTGTACATCTGCAGAGCCTGCATGGTGTTCTGCACTTCGGGGATTTGTCTCCTCCCCACCATGCATCTCTTCCTCCCATCAATTTACAGGCACAAGGGCTCATGGGTATTTTATACTTTGTGTGACCATCCAATCACTAAGGTATTTATCTTATGCCAGCTCATGTTGCTGCTCCTTTGGACATGGCGGGCTTGGTGGCTCCCGTGTCCCGCTGACAGAGCCTGGGGGTTTTGTTTTGGGCCTTAGCTTTGGTTTTAATGCATCTCCACTTTACTCCCGGGCGCTGCAGATGGCCCCAAGTCCTCCTGTGTCATTCTTGCTGCCGTCCTGGGATCAGTCCCTGGCCCATGGAGCCCTGGCCCTGTGCACCCACCAGGGGACTCTTGTCACTTCTGTCCCTCTCAGTGGAGCCAGCACACTGACCCACACGTGGACCACATCACACAAATTTCCTGAGCTCCAACCATCAAACATGGGGGACCCACCTGACCCCCCACTCCAGCGGGGCGACTGGTCCCCAATGGGCCAGCCAAGCCCTTTCGTCCCCGCCTGCACCACCTTTCTCCTCTCCAAATTGTCCCCCTCCAGCGCAGCTCCCTCACCCCTGCCCCCATCCTGACCACTCTTGTGCCGGGACCCCCAAACTATACTCACAGAATTTCCACTGTGCGCAGCCTGGCCTGGGCAGTGGGGGCCAACAGGCACGGCCTGCCCAGGCTCCCCAAAGAGCCCCGGCTCCGTCTACTCAGCCTCGTCTCAGGCCTAGGACACTGCCCTCTTCCACCCTGTGTCCTCCCAGGTGCTGCACACTCAGAGTCCTCGTACGGCCCCATCTGAGCTCCTTCCCTTAGGAGAAGCATCTGGCCAGCTCGCTTCTGGTGCCAATCCACCCCACACGCTGTGCGGCTCTGACGTTGGCTGAGCGAGCAGCATCCCCATCACGCCGGTTGGAAGGGTTCGTGTGCGCGTCTGGGACAGCCGTTTCCACACAGGGGCTCAAACTTTGCTGCATGACTGTGAGCACTCACAGCTCTGCAGCCGGCCCTGCTGCCTTCCAGAGTGGCTGTGTCCCCAGCTAGCTGCAGTGTCCCTCCTTCCTGGCCGCTCCATGCCCTGCTCTGGGGTCCAGGGCTTAGGGTCCACCTGTGGCTCTTGCAGGGCTCCCATGGCCAACAGAAAGGTGAAGGCCCAGGTAAGGGCTCTGCAACCCTTGGTGCCCTGGGTTCCCACCCATGCAGGGAAGCCCAGCCTGGGCTCTGCCTCAGGGTCCTGCTCTGAGCTGAGCCACAAAGGCTCACAGGATGGCTGAGGTCCTTGGAGGCAGGTACCAACCAGCTCTCTTCTCATCCTGGCCACCCGGGCCAGCCAAGCACTGTGCTCTCCCCGGCCACACTTCCTGCCCGAGCACTGGGCTGTCCTCGATGATACCTTGGGCCAGATGTGCCTCCCTGCAATCCCACCCCATCCACCAGGGGACACAGGGGCCTGGGATGTCGAGGACCCCAGGTCTGACTTCAAGGTGGGTGGGGGCGCCGCTGCCCCGCAGGCGGGATGACCCCAGCATGGTAGCCGCTGGAGCAAGAATGTTGGGAGGACAAAGCCCCAGGTGACAGCTTCCTGTCCTTTGAGAGACATGGAACCGCAGAGCTGGCTTCTCGGGGTGGTGTCCTGGACACATGGCTTCTGTCCCATTCTGGGGGACAGGACCAGGAGGAGGAGACCTGGGTGTCCAGAGACAGGCAGATGCGCCCAGGGCTTCAGCCCTACAGTGCCTTCCTGTCCTGGGAACAGGGGACAGCAAACCTCTCCAGGCAGGGCCTGGCCTGAGAAGTGTGGTCAGTGGATGGACGGTGATGGATGACCAGGGGACAGTACCTAGGGGATGGGTGTTGGGTGGGTGCGTGGATAAGGAGCCACTAAGTGACTTCTCCACATCCTTCACCTCCCTCCTGACCGCCACAAGCAGCTCGGGCATCCCTGGACCTCAAGGGCTCCACTGATCACCTCCAAGGCCACTATCCAGCCTTATACTCTTGGTCCCTCTTCCTGAGTCATGAGCCATGATCCCCCTCCTAGTCCCTGGAACCTGGGCCCAAGCCCTGGCCTTCTTAATGGGAGACCCCAGGGGTTCCCACCCTCACCCCTTCCCAGGGAGCAAGCCAAAACCCCTGCATCACTCCTGCCTCTTCTCATCTCTGGGGCCCCGCATTAGCCCCTTTTCACAGCAAGAAACAGCAAACGGCGACCACAGGACATTTTCCAGGTGGACAGGGCCTTTGTGACAAAGGCTAGAGATGGAGAAACAGGCCCAGTGAGGGCAGGGCCTCCCTGCCTCCCACCTTCTGGCAGATAAGCATGCTGTAAGCCCACCTGGCTCTGCACACAGCCTGCTCCCTGGGGTCTTGGTAAAACACCCTGCTCCTGACCAGCCCTGACCTGGGGTGGCAGGCACCCAGATCCCCCAAAGCCTGCAGAAAGCTTGTGTGCCCCTGCACTGGAAGGAACCGGCCTTTTCCCAGCACCTCCAGCAGGGGGCAGTGCCGTCCCACACCTGGGGATCTGTGGGGCGCCCTGTCCCTCCTGGGGAAGAAAGGTGTCACTACCCGGTGGGGTGGGGAGGCCTGAGCTGGGACCCCTCCCCAGCCCCCGGCTTCTCTCTGGGTTGCTGTGCAGAGGTCCAGTGTAGAGGGCAGTGGGGAACACAGGCTAAATGCCTGGCCAGCCTGGACTTCCCTCCCGGGGACAATGGGACCATTTGCAGACTTTGGGGAATGAGGTCCAAAGCCCTCACTCGGTCCTGCTTCCTGGTCTTGGCATGGCAGTGACCCACGCCCCTCTGTCCTGAGGGGCCAGGGCCAGGGCCTGCTTGTGGGGAGGGGCTCTCCCTGTGCTGACAGAGGGACGACCCTAACTGTCCCTCAGCACCACGACTCCAATACAGTGGGTGCCTGGCAATGGTCCCACCCCCCCCCACCGGAGACCTGTGCCCCTGCCCCCACCCCAGTGTCTCGGGTTACAAACCCCAAGCCTGGCTCCTCCTGTCACTGCTGGATTCTGCTGGTGATAAACTTATCAACCCCAGCATCTCTGGTCCGGAGGGACTGCCCTGAGCAGATGTTGCCATGGCAACCGGAGGCAGCACAGGGAGGCCTGAGGCTGGGTTGCTAGGCTTGCGCAGGCAGCTGGGGCTCTGCTGGACTGGGACTGACTGGGCGGTGCTTGTATCCCAGAGGCAGTCATCCCCCACACTTCTCCAGGGACACCCACCAGCCAAGGCCCTACACCACCTGAACCCACCCCGCAGCCATCCCTGGGCACCAGAGGGGAGCCCTCCCCACACCCATCTGTCCAACCTGTCACACTGCATGTCCTGTGCCCTCACCTGGGACCACCTGCTCTGCAGGCACCTCCTCTAGGGGTGGACGTCACAGGGGCCTCGCCCAGGTCAGGAGACACAGAGACCCGGCTCCCGGCCAGCAGCCATGTCGTCGTGTGGGCTCTTGGGATGCACGAACAGGCCCATCTGCTTCTCAGGGTCCAACCCTCCCTCCGGACCGAGAAAGGGGCCTGCAGAGCTGGGCTGGCAGTGGTTCAGAACCAGGCACCAGAGTACATGGGGTCAAGCAAGGCAGCAGAGGCAGCGTGTGGACTGCAGGAACCACCTGCCTCCCAGAGGGGGCCTCAGCCCCAGCCCCCCAGACCTGTGATGCCCTGGAGGACACCGAGGGGCAGCCCTGACTTCGGGCGGCTGGACGGGTGACCAGGCGCCTCGGACAGAGAGCTGCTCAGGCGGACTCAACTGTGCCCGTCCCACGGGTCTCCCTGGCACCACCAGCCAGTGGGGGACACAGGGCAGACACCCCTCAAACGCATCCCAGGGGAAGGGAGCATAGAGGTGTGCGGCCGCCTCCCGTCCTGAGGCCGAGGGAAGTGTATTTGTGCACGCGTGTACACCAGTGTGCGTGCGTGTGCAAATGTGCAGAGCCTGCATGACTGAACTGTGCGCAGTGCACGTACACGAATGTGTCTGCGCACACACACAAAGACGCGTGTGTTCCCGGGGACAACGACTTGGGGAAGCCTCTGCCCTTCCTGTCCCGCCCGAGTGCTGTCCTGGCTCCAGGCACCGCCCCGGGGCCATGTGTCCAGCTCCGAGGGGCAGGGCAGGACCCAGGCCCTCACAGCCCCATGGCAGCTTCCGTGGCTCAGTGCCTCCCCAGGGGAGCCCAGCTAGGTGGGGGTGTGTGAGGGGGCTGGGGCACCAACTTGGGCCCGGGCAGTCGGGTTCCAGACAGCACGGAGACAAAGGGCATTTATCACGGGGGCGGTGCAGGCGGGCGCCGTTAACCTGTTATTAATCAGGCAGTCGGACGACATCATTAGTCCTCATGTGAAGCTCCTGCCCGCTCGGCCAGCAGGGCATGGGGGACCCAGGGCCTGGGCGAGGGGCCCTGGGGCCTGGCCGGTGACAGTACACGGGCTCCTCAAGGTCCACACACCTGGCGCCCACGGATGCAAATCCAGGATCAGCTCCCCACCCCGTGCTTCCGACTCCCGGCTCACACAGGAAACCCCAGGCAGAACAAACGAGAACTGAGCGGAGACGTATTTCAAAACGCTCATTTTGTTTCTCCTCTCCCACGTTCCTCTGTGTGTCTCTCCCACGAGTCTAACACCACTGTTTGTCCGACCCCGACATCTGTGCCGCGATGTTGCAGAGAACGATTACGGAGGGAAGGAATTTCACAGTCAGACAGAGTTGTGGGAAGGCCGGCAGCGGGCGAGAGGCGAAGTCCTGGGCAGGCGCTGAGGCGCCCCCTCCAGGAGAGGCGTCTGCAGGCAGGGTCCGCGGAGCCCCTGCAACGCCTCTGCGTCCCACGCCTCACCTGGACCGCTAGAAGCAGAAACAAAACAGGTCCCACCCCCCACAATATCATCCAGTATACATGAGGGATAAAATTACATTTGTACAAAAATAGATTTTTTAACCTTTCCCGATGCTTTAGACGTCTGCTCCTCTCTCTCCCCGGGTGGACGTGACATCCCTAAAGCGTGAGCGGAGTCCCGGCTAAGGCATCGCCAGGGCTCGGGACAGCCAAAGCCACCGCCCCTGGGCATCTGAAAATAGATGCATCTCCTGCCTCGAGATTCTCCTTCGACCCAGACTTCACCACGGGAGCGACCCTCAGGTGCTTGCTTACAGGAAGCAAATTTACAGGGACACGGGGAAAGTCTTGATTAAGAAGAAACACAAAACATCGGTAACTGTAACACGGTTCCTCGCGCCCAGTGCCTCTGCACAGCTCATGCACGTCCAACCACACAGCCGCAGGCACGGGGACCAGGCCACGCACCCCAGCTCCGACGGAGACTCGTGCTCCAGCCGGCCCCTGGGTGTCCTTTCCGGCACCGTCGCCAGGCACCAGCCAGGCCACCTGCCCCCCTCCCCGGTCATCTTCGCTTCTCAGCCACGGGAGCCGGTGTGAATGTCCACGCGGGAAGGGACACGGCAAGGGGGAGGTCACGGGCCCGGCCAAGGCAGGGACGCGCACGGGATGGCTGAGAAGCCGATGTCAGTGCTATCTTTAGAAAATTAAAGACTGTCCCACCAAAATATAATAATAATTACAAAAAAATCACCTCAATTGCGCCAGATTGGCAGCATGGCTGAAGGCCTGGTTCAAGAGCCGTCCCACCTCCCCAGAGCCCGCCTCACACTCCAGCAACGCTGGACGCACAATGGTGGTGACAGGGCACTAAGGAGAGGGGCACAGGAAGCTGCGGAAGAGCAACAGGAAGTGGGCGGCAGGTAAGGCTGCACGGGCCACGGGGCTCGGGGTTCTGGCTTCGGGGAGCAGAGGCCAGCCAGGCCCAGGGTGGGAGGGGACACGTCACTGAGAAGACTTCTGCCCCTAGGTTTTCTCTGCTAGAGCCACGGACATTCCCGAGGGGTGCACAGGAGCTAGGGGGCACTGCACAGAGCAGGCGAGGGCACGGATGGCAGATGACAGGGTGCACCGGACAGCAAAAGGCACCGAGATAGGCGGAAGGGACTGAGCGCTGCACCTCTGCCTGGTGCTGCCACGCCCTCAGCTGGACACGCCCATCCTCCCACGGCCTCCCACCCGGCTCCCAGAGGCCCCTCCTGCCAACAGGGGCACCCCCGGCCCCCTCCTTGCATCCCAGCCTGCCAGCTTCCCATTCAACACAGGGTCTCAGGTCTGCAGCAGCAGGGGATCTAGGTGGATGGTGTCACCCGGAACACTGCAGAGTCCCCAGACAGACACGGGGTCCAGAGGAGGAGGATGCCCCTGCCCCTGCCTGCATGGCTTGTTCTCGCAGGAGCCACTTGGAGAGAACCCAGTCGGCATCCCTTGCAGCCCCAGGATGGGAGCATCCAGCACGGGGGTCAGCAGAGCCCATGCGGGGCCCACATGCTGCGTGGTGATCTTGGGGTACCCTGGGTTAAGTGGGCGCACACAGTGAGAAGATGCAGCCAGGTCAGTGACTCAAAGAGGAAACCAAGGTGGGGTGATGGCGCCCCGGGTCCCGGTGGCCTTCAGGTGGCCCCAAAACTCTGTGAAGTCAGCTCCTGTTCCCAGTGGCTGGGGGAGCTCACTGGTTCCTTGTGGGAAGTGGGGCTGCTCACCCTCCATGCCACCAAAAAGGGAGGATCTGGGCTCCAGAGGGAGGTGGGGAACCTCCTGTACCCACCTACGCTTGCCCCGCTCCCCAAGTGAGCTCTCCGGGCTGTCAAAGATGGGTCACATCAGTCATGGCCACCGAGGGGGAGCTCAAGAACCACCTGCTACAAACAGCAACAAGGAGCCCCCCAGCACTGCGGCCCAGGCACCTGCAGGAGCCAGCGGGCAGGGCCTAGCTGGGTCTCTGCTGCTCCTGCTGCCCCAGGAAGCCGCGGCCCTGGCCACAGACAAGCGGCAGTAGGATGACAGGGACAGCAGCACCCCTCAGCTCCCCAAAGGTCCATGTGCGCCGGGCAAGGGCAGGGCAGGTGGCCCGAGGCCTAGGCCAGCTGGTGGGGGGCCTCCAGCATCTCCATGAGGAAGGTGTCGATGGGCGTGTCCCCGATGAGCTTGAAGAAGAACAGGTGCTCCAGGCACTTGAGCCCGATGGAGCGCAGGGCCGGCAGCCGGAGCAGCAGCTTGGCAAACCTGGGCACGTGGAGGGCAGAGATGGGTGGGGACACCAGGCACGCACCCAGTCCCCACAGCGCCCAGGGAGGAGCTCGAGTTTCCAGCAACGGGGAGCCACAGATTGTAAGCAAGGGAAAAAGCGCTAAGAAGGGGTCTGAGCGTCAGAGAGGCCCCTGCTGCGGCTGTCATCCCTGAGAGACGGGGGTCCTGGCCCAGGATGGGCGACGGAAAGCTGGGCCAGAGAGGATGTAGCCAAGGGAGGCACCTTGGGGAGCTCCAGGGCACCCACAGCCGACTTGAGAGCAGAGCAGCGCGGGAGGCCAGCATCCTGACACACCAGATCTGCCACCCCACCCCGTCTGGGTCTCCCCCAGGACCCCATTAATTATTCCCAATGTCCCTCCCTTCCCAGGAGGAAGCCCTGTGGCTGGCCACCTCCCCAAGCAGCTTTAAAGGCAGGAACACAGCCTGGAGGCTGGAGTGGGGCCAGAGCCAGAGCTGTTTTCTGCTGAGCTGGCGAGATGGGCCGAGGCAGAAAGCCAGGAAAAGCGAGCCACTGCCACCCCTCCTGTCTTCATCCTCCGGGAAGTTCGCTGTAACTCAAACCAGATGAGGCCGAGCAGCGCGCGCAGTTAACCGTGTGTGTGCCAGGCAGCCTGGCCGGGCGGGTGCCATCTGTCCAGCCCTCCACACCTGGCTTCAGATCAGGAAGCAGGAGGTGCCCTTCAGCGAGAAGAGCCAAGCCGGGACAGCCGCCTGAATCCAGGGCTGCCCAGCACTGCGGACCGGGGACAGACGGTCCCAGGCTTCTGGGGCTCTGCCTCTGGCCATTTATTCCACACACTGTAAAGTGCCTACTGTGTGCTTGCCACTGGCAGGTCGACTTCACAGGGGAGCCCGTGGCCCTGGTCTGCATCAGCCAAAACCAGCGCCTGCATGTGTCCTGTGCATGCCATGTGCCCCGCAGCCCACCTCACCAATGGGCTCTGCAGCGCCAGGTGGGGACGGCCCAGCCCGCCAGGGGTCGCCCGGGCTGGCAGTGCTCACCTGCCTGGCTGCTCTGGGTACTTGTGTTTGCAATAGGCCTCCAGCGACGCGTACACCTTCTCCCTCAGCGCCTCCACCTCGGTGGGGTTCGAGAGCCCCTTAGAGTCTGCAGGAAGAGCGGCCTCAGCTCAGAGCCCTGGCAAGTGCCAGGTCCCTCGATCGTGCCTGTGGGCCCCAGGCCCGTGTACCAGTCACCCCACACTCACGAAGCAGGCAGCATGTGGGGGAGGAGGTGGGAGAGGGCTGTGCCCTCCAGGCTGCAAGTGGGAGCTGAGGCAGCCGCTCTGGGGGGAACCTGGCTCTGCCCCTTGAGAGTCATCCAGCCCAGGACGGGTTCCTGACCTCCAGGGACTCAGTTTCCTCATCTGTACAGAGCTGGGATTCTTTCCCCCGTTGCTATGGTAACCAGGACAGGCCATGGACGCCTTACTCCTGTGCCCAGGCTTCCCTGGTACATCAGTGCTCCAGGCCAACTCCCAAGGACCAGCCCAGGGCTCAGCCTGTGAGCTGGAGGGGACAGGCCTCACGGGGCCTCCTGGCCACTGTCCAGGGGCATCCCAGGGTGGCTACCGTTCACTCCATGTTTACCCACCCACACCCCGCAGGGACCAGCTCCCCACGGCCCAGACAAAGCCGGGCTGCTGCTTGCCCCCACACCCACTCCACCCTCCTGGGACGTCACCCCCTCCCTCCCCAGGGTGGCACCCCACGTAGCCACGTGCCCCTGCCATTGTGTGGCCATGGCCCTAGGGGCTGGAGGGGACACTGGCCACCCCAGGGTACCTCACAGGCCCCATAAGGACACGAGAGCGGCCCTGTCTTGCACAGGATGCCAATGTGCTGTCTGGGAGGGACGAGTGACAAGCACCTTCCCTGTCCCTGTGGACAGCAGCCGGCCCCAGAGCAAGCAGAAGGGGGCACCACCGTTCCCACCATGACGCGGCCCACAGTGGGTCATGGGCACAGGCAGCAGGGCCGCACCGGGGTTGAAGAGGACGATGGCACGCAGGCAGCCCAGCTCCGTCTTGTCCATCCGCATGTCCCGCATCTTGGACACCAGCTCTGTCAGAACCCTGTGGACAGGGAGCCCCAGGCCCAAGTCAGACTGCACCCCGGGAAGCCCTGGGGACTCTGGGAGCCCCAACGGCCCCACAGGCGGCTGGGACGGAGAGGCCAGGTGGGCTGGGGGGGAAGCGGTGTGGACGGAGCACCTGCCGCACTCATCTGGCCAGCAGCCTGCACTCCTAGGGGCTGCCTGGGAGGTCACCCCAGGGCTGAGGGGGCCAGGCCCAGAGCTAGGCCCGGACACTGACAAGGCCCTGGCCTCCGGCAGGGTGGCTGCTGCCACCAGCCTCCCCAGGGGCCACTCCCCAGGAAGGGGTCAGTGCCACTTCACCGGGGAACCAGCATGCAGGGCCCCTCTGGGAACAAAGACGCCCCACGGAGCGCCCAGGGGCTCTCAGGCTCCCTCTCGGCCCACTGGCTGCCGGGAGGGCTCACAGCCGAGGCCTGGGCGGAATCAGCCTGACAGGCCTCCCCAGCTCCATGGCCCAGCGTGACCCCACAGCGTGGCAGTGCTGTCCAGGACATGACATGGCCGGGGACCACTGACCGAGGGCCTCTCATGCGCTGCCCTGCACTGCACAAGCAGAGAGTTGACCCCACACCCACCCCACCTGTCAAAGATGGCGCCCACCCCTGCGCTGTGGGCACTGTTCCGATGCACGTGCAGCCCGGTGGCCAGGAGGATCCCGTCCTTCACGGCTATGGACCGGTGGGAGAAGGAGGCGATGAGCAGCTCGTTCCACCCTGTGGAGAGAAGGCACACGGTCACTTGGCCACGGTCTCCCAGCCCCACCAGCTCCACCCCCTTCTCCACCCCTCCCTTTCCAAAGCCATGCCAGGGTTCCCAAAGCGGGCTCTGTAGAACCCTAGCCCCAGAAGGGGTTCCACAGGAAGGAGGCTCGGGAGCATCTTGGCTTGAGAAACACCCTTTTCCTGCAAGCATGCAGGTACGCTGGGAATCCACACTGAGACAACCATGGTGGAAATCAGAACGGAGATGCCTTACACACTGAAATTAGAAACTCTACTTGACCCAGCTAGTCCCCTTCTAGGCATCTTCCCAACAGAGTTAAAGACATCGTGTTACAGTGACGTATGCACACCCGTGTTTACAGCAGCACAATTCAGAGTAACTAAATCTTGGATGCAGCCTATCTGTCCATCAACAGATGAATGGGGAGTGTGATGTTTACACACCATGGAGCACTGCTCTGCCATAAAGAAGGATAAACTCACGTCATGCGTAGGAAAACAGAAGCAGCTGTCATGAGGCCATGACATTCAGTGAACTAAGTCAGATGCACAAACTTCTATACTGCGTGGTTTCTCTTATTTGAGAAACCCAGGGTATAAATAAAGATCAAAATGATAAAGAAAACTGCACAATATTCTCACAGCCTCTGACTCGGGCAACATGAGGCCCTCTCAGTATGAGGCATAACGGTGCCTGTGGGCCCTCCTTGTGTCCCAGGACAGCGGTGCCCTGTCCCTCTCCTTCTGGGGACCACTGTGCAGGACAGGCCATCAGCACGAGCAGGTGGGAGGCTGCAGGACGCACCGAGAAATGTGAGCCAGGCCCTCACAGGAACCAGGGCCGAGCTGCACCTCATGGCCAGAGGGAGGCCCATGATGACCAGGCGGCCCAAGCCCTGCCCCAGGCTGCCACACTCATGGGTGGACATGTCCTGGCGGTATGAGCCACCAATCCCAGAAAAGGAACAGGGGCCTGAGATCGTGCCTGTCCACTCCTGTGAGCAGGAGGGTCCATGAGCCCTCGGCGAGGTTGGACGGAACAGCCATGGCTGGGTTGCCGTCAGAGATGCTGTCCACCGCCCCGCCTATCAGTGGACCCAGCCCAGCCAGGCACAGGCAGGAGGCCCGGCGAAGCGCAGAGAGGTGGGGTTCTGCAGGTGAGTGTGGAAAACATCCATGCACAGCAGAGCAGGGGCTCTGAGGGCCACGCACAAGGCACTTGGGGGGCCCTGCTCAGGTGCCAGGCCCCAGCCCAGCCTGGCTTCCATTCTGCCCCAGGGCGCGGCCCAGAGCAGGACATCCAGACCAGAGGGAGAAAAGGGTGAGCCATGCTGCACAGAGCCTCACAACTCAACAGCCTGGGCTGAGGGGCAGCTGGGAGGAAGGAGGCCCAACCCAGGAGCCTGGAAGCCATGAATGGCCCTTGCCTTGCCTCAGTTTACCTGACAAACAGAATAGACAGGATGCGCCTCGTAATGAGCCAGAACTATCTGTCACTTCGTTTCTGAAGGTCCCCTGGACTGCTGGAACAGGGAGCCACCAGGATGAAGGGGTGACCACAGACCAGGCCTCAAGCCCGCACTGCCCAGTAGTTCACACAATGGTGGAAATCCCCCATAATCTGGGATCCTGGACATGAGTCCCATATCCCTAAGGAGGGGACCAAGGCTGTAACCAACTGCAGCTGGCCAGACCTTGTCCTTGGGGCTGACCAGGCCCAGCCACCTGGCTGCCACAGACTTCAAATTCCTAGTCTCCATGGTTGCCTTGGAGGGCATCGAGGGGCCCAGGCAGACCATCTGCTGGTCATGTGAGAGTCCACATTGCCACCGAGTCTGCCTAGCATTCATAATGCAGCCAGCCTCCACATAAGGAGCACAGGACAAAACGGAGGCGTGGAGAGGGACATGGCCCAGGCCACACATTCACAGGCAGGAGAGCTGCCCTAAAGCCAGGAGGCCCTGTTGGGACCCCAGGATTTAGCCACCTTGTGCAGCTGCTCAGTAGGGACCTGGCAGCCAGTCAGCGAGGTCCCTCGGAGGGGACAAGGCCAGCGTCAGGCTGGGGCAGAAGCCTGTTCTGGGGTGAGAAGCCACTAAGACTCCAGAAGGAGGCCAAGTGGGGACGCAAAGGTCACCCATGATGGGATGTTAGGGGAGATCCCTGCAGGGGGCCGGGGGCTTAGGCCCAACCTGGTCCTGGCACAGGAAAGGCCCCACAGCAACCCAGCAAGCACCCAGCAGACACATACATGGAGGCATGGGCCTGGCCTGCTGTGTGCCTGGATGGTCCCTGCACATGGCCATCAGGGGCCAGCACCTGCTCTGCTGTGATCACCCGAGGACTGAGGTCAGAGGGAAGCTGCTGGGGTCTGGAGCCACAGGACAGCTGCCACTAACACTGGGGCACAGCATCCAGCCAACTTTGAGGTCACCGAGACCCACGGGCTGCCTGCTTGTGCCAGACACAAGCGCCTGCGGGAGAAGCTGGGTGTTAAGGTCTGGGTCTGGGATGTCACCAGAAAGCCTCCTGCCTTCAAGAGAGGGGGCTTTGGGAAGGTGACTGGATCCCTGTGTTCATGATGGATCTGTCCACTAACGAACTGGCAGCTGAGCGTAGTCACACGGTGGGGCGTGGCTGGAGGGGGTCACTGGGGTGCAGCCTGGAAGGGTGACAACTCCTTCCCCCCGCTCCTCCTTCCTCTCGGTTTCCTGGCCGCCACAGCACGAGCAGCTCTCTTCCCTAAGGCTCCTCTGCCGTGAACTCTCTGGCTGACTGCACTGAACCCTGAGCCCAAAAAAACCTCTCCTTCTTTTTTTTGGTACCGGGGATTGAACTCAGGACCTTGTGCTCGCGAGGCAGGTGGCGGCACCACTGAGCTAAATCCCTGGCCTCCTCTCCTTGAAGCCATGCATTGTCAAGTAGGATGCCCACCAGCTTCTGAAAGAATAACAGTGGGGCACAAGCACCTCAGCCCTGTGGGATAAGAAGCCACCTGGACAAAGGCACTGTGGTCAGGGACCTGCTATGGGGGGATCCTGGCTCATCGGGACCTCAATATAATCAAAGGTCCTACCCCAAGAGAAGTACAAAGATCAGGGCCTTGGCCAAGCACCTTCTGGAACATTCTGCACATCACAGGGAGCTGTCCCTGTCTGGCTGGGTCAGCTGTCAAGCCTTGGCCACTACGGCAGAGCTGGACGGTCAGGCTGTCCAGACCCCGGGACAGTGTGGCCTTGGGGATGGGACAGTCACTAGCACCTTGGCTGTGGCCACAGACCCCCTGCAGTGTCCCCCACAATTCACAGGCAGAGCCCGAGACCCAGCTGAGGACCGTCTCCCCACACCCCCAGCTGCCCACAAGCCCCGCCACCCCCTTTACAGAGGAGGAAGCTGCTCAGGGCCCCACCTCCCCCAGGCCTCCACAGCCGGGCTGCCCCACGCTGAGGCACCACTCCTGCCCGCCACCCCGCTGCCCCTGCCCCTACCCGAGCCAGTAGCCCGGCCACTCACCCGCCCGCAGCAGGATGACCTGGTCGTCCAGCGGCAGCTCAGAGAAGTGTGGGACCCTCTTGGCCCACTCCACCAGCGTGAACAGCTGCTTGTCCGCGGCCTGGCAGATGTTGGTGACGGGGTCGTTGGGCTGCAGGGGAGAAGGAGGCGAGGCATTAAGGCCCACACCAGGCCTGCCCCGCATGGCGCACCTCAGCAGGAACTAAGCAGTGACCCTGGGAGGCCAACCTCGTGGCCCTGCGGGTACGACCTGCACAGAAAGGGACCCGGCAGAGGGAGCATGCTGAAGTCCTGGGGCGGCAGGCAGTCCTGGGTCCCAGGCAGCCGACTGGAGTTCTGGCTGCACAAACCCAGAGATGCTAAAATCCACTAACCAGGAGGCGAATCATCCCAGGGGTCCCAGGAAGGATCTGCTCAGCCCCTCCCCAGCCCTGGGGTGGCAGATGTTGGGCAAGGAGAGACAGATAGATGGGGGCCACGCCCAACTAGACGTGGAAGGGACTCAGGGCAGGCCCATGCTCGGCAGAGAGCCCAGGCCCCAGGCAGAGCTAGGGCATATCAGACTCCGACCTGGCCAGACAGGGGCTGCCCTGTCGTTCTCAGGGACCAGGGGCACCACAGGGCTGGGACTGGGCCCACCAAGTCACTCTGCTGCAGGAGAGATGCCAGAACTGGGGCACAGGGTCCCTCATTTCAGAACTGGTGGTGGCCAGGAACCAGAAGGAGAAAAAGTGTCCGCCACAGAGTGTGCCACGGACAAATCAGTGCTGGGAAGGAGGGAGGCAGGGGCTGCTCCCTGCCCTAACCCTGCTCCATTCCTGGGCAAGGGCTCCCCCACTGGAATCCCACAGTAGATGTTAGTGAGCTGCCAGCTCATGCCAGGAAGGGGTGCCCGTAGGACCAGCCGGATGGCAGGGGAGAGCCCCTCCCCAGCCCTGCTTTGAGAGCAGGACCCCTGCCTCCCACACGCCGAGTTTCTGCAGAGGCAGGGGTGTTCCCGGGCAACACTTGCACTCAGCAGAGCTGAAGCCTGGCATCTTTGTGCCCACTGCCAGCCACCCCTGCAGCCCCTGCCCTTTGAGGGCCATGGCCATCCCACATGGGTGTGCTCATAGGAAGGGGCTGCCTTCAGAACCGGGGCCCTCTCCAGCTGGGCGCCTGGCCCACGGACAGAGATCCGAGTGGCACCGGGCAGGTGGGAGCCATGTGAGCTCCCAGGGCCAGGACTCATCCCTGAGCAGAACTGGGCAGTGGGGCACAGCTCAGATACTATGCCACGTTCTCACGAGAGGGTACCAGCCTGCTCACCTCACTGTGTGCCAACATGTGCTGGGCAGGGTGGGGAAAGCACAAGCGCGTGGAGCCCACATTGCAGTGGTGTGCCAGGCCCTGCAGGCAGGAGGGCCAGTGAGGGGCAGAGCCAGGGCAACCTGGAGGCCTGCCTGGACGGGGCTCCAGGGCTCAGCCATGGGGCTCTGCTCCCAGCCCTGAGCCCACACAGATCCAGGTGCCGTGCAGACACTGCACAGACCATGCCTGGGCAGACACAGGGCCCTAAGAGCCGGCTGGACCACAGTGAGATACCAGGAAATGCAAGGTCTGTGCAGAGCGCCCAGCCTGGACTCCATGGTCAGAAACACCCGCCCAGCCCGGCGCAGCACCTTCTCAGCGGAGCTGTGACAGACAAGGTGTCCTGGCCAGTGAGCTCGCCAGAGGCCGTGCGGGTTCCTGCAGGCCAGCAGGAACCAGTGGGGGTTTGCAAAGTGGCTCAGATACATGCAGGGCCTGGGCCACACCAGGCAAACACCAAGGCACAGGGAGCTGACATCCGCTGAGGGAGGGGTGGAGGCCAGTGGGGCTGACCCCAGCCTGGGAGCCAGGAGGAGGGCGGCCTGTGTCCACCCCACCTTCATGTGGAGGTAGAGGGGGCAGCAGGTAGCCCAGAGGGCAGGGTGGCCGTGCCAAGGTCACTCCCACAGGTGCTGGCATGAGGGAGACTGGATGGAGGGTGCAGGAGCTGCTTCCGGCCTTGGGGCCCGCCCTGGCCTTACCCATTCCAGTGAGCACAAGGAGGCTCAGGACATCACCTGCCAGGGACACAGGCAGCAGGCACAGCTGCCCGCCCGGGACCACACCTGCAGTGCACACGGGGTCTGGGAGGGCTGAGTGCAGGGCCAGGGCAGGAGGACGAGCCAGCGAGGATCCACAGGGAAGCTGAGGCGGGCGCCGAGGCTGACTCACCGAACTGGGGTTCAGCCCCATGTTTGCCTCCACATAGGTCTCTGTCTTGGGCTCCACGGCCAGCTCAGCCTCCAGGATCTTCTCCACAGGCATGTCCTCGTTGGCGCTGCTGGTCGACTCCACCTCGCTCTCGCTCCGGTCCTTGCCTCGCTGCCGCTCCTCCTGCACGGCTGAACCACAAGGCCCATGAGCCAGCGCGCCGACCCCGGGCCACCACACCTGGCCTCTCGGTGGCCACGCACTTGTCACTCAGCTCACACTCACTGCAGGAGCCCACCCGGGACGGGGCAGACCGCTTTCCCCGGAGCTGACGGCCTGGCTGCCCCGAGCTCAGCGGTCTACACGGCCTGTGGACTCAGGGACAGCCGGGAAGGCTCCAGGAAGAGGCAGCCATGAGCCCGGGGCCGGCTCAGGCGGGGGGAACAGCACACACAGAGGCCCAGACGGGCTCACACCTGCACAGTGCCGGTCTTCCCACCCCATGCCCGACACCGGCTCGGTCTCCTCTCCGTTCCACTCATCCACCCAGCCACAGCACTTCCCTCCCTGAGGAACAGGGGCCCAGAAAGACCAGGGTCCCTGGGCCACCTGCGCCCTCCAGCTGCTCCTGCAAACCCCCACACCTCACCCCGCGGGCACTGAGGGCTCCGGCTCCTCTTCCATCCTTCCGTCCCGCCCTCCCGCCCTCCTGCCAGGCAATGGCCCAGACCCTCACCCCGCAGCCTCCAGTTCCCATGACATCGCCCCCACCTCTCTGCTCGGCCTGGGGCTGCACCTGGTGCTCTGTCCCCTGCTTCCCGAGGACCACGGGGCACTCACCAGGGCTGCCACGCCCCAGGCCACAGTCTCCCCGCCATGCTGGTCCAGGACCTCAGCCCCACACGGCTCCCTTTCCCCTCTCAACTCTCTAACTGCCCCAGGTGGCTGCCTCACAACCCCTTGTGTGCCGGCTCCTTGCCTGCCACTGACCACCATTCTACCGGGTTCTGATGGGTACCCTTCCCGGGGCCTCGTGGTCCCCACAAGCACCCCTGAGCTTCCCAGGATGGGGCCGTCTTTCTAAGACACAACAGTGGGGCTGAGCCAGGGATCTCCTGCTCCTGTGTAGGCTGGGCAAAGGCTCCAGATGCACCCACCAGGAACCACAGGGGCCCGAAAGCCCGGGTACCTCGGAAACTCCGACCGCAGCAGGGCCAAGCAGGCTCTACGCCACCCCTCCACAGGGTGGCGCTCATCTGGGGTCGGGTCACTCCTCCAGGGACAGGGTGGACCCGATGGATGTGGGGGAGCCCGCCAGCAGGAGGCGCCTAAAAGGGTGATTACAGCAGGCCCTGCTGGCAGTGTCTGGGCAGATGGAAGCCCAGTGTCTGCTCAGCAGCCTCCTCCCCCTGGGGTGAAACTACGTCTCAGAGAACTAGAAGGGGCACTGTGGACATCTCGGAAGCTGCAGCTCCGAAGCCTGCACTACCTCTAACAGCTGTGTGGCCCTGGGCAAGTCTCCAACCTCTCTGGCTCAGCTTCCTGACCGAGGGCCCCACGAGGTACCCAGGCAGGCCCAATCTGCCTGTCCCATGTCCCCACCGGGGCAGGACAACCCCCACCCCCCGCCGCCACAGCAGCCCTGAGTGCTGAGCCTCGCCACACTGCGGCTGGTTCCGGGGAGCCCTCGGCAGGCAGGGGGGTTCGGCACCTGCCTCCTCCGCAGGCGGGCAGCGAGAATTAATTAGCAAATGTTTTGTGAAACACTTTGAAGCTGTGAAGGGCCCCAGCAGCTCTAAGCAGCATCATTATAAATATTATGGTTTTATTTATAGACGGCGGAGGGGCAGGTGGAGCCGGGATTTATGCTTCGCCAGCTCAATCACCTTTTAGACGAAGTCGTGTTTGACTTATGCCCCCCTGGCGCCGGGAAGCCTCGGGCGGGAGGCGTCTGTAAATACAGGGCCTCCTTTTCCTCCCCAGCCATGGCAGCCAGCAGCGAGGAGGAGGTGGCAGCCAGAGGCCTGAGTCTGGGTGGGAGGCCTTCCCTGCGGTCGGTCCTCCTGGCAAGATGGGGACGCGGGCTGAGTCCAGCCAAGGCCGCCCCTGCCCAGCTTGGCACTGGACTGGGAAAGCAGCAGGCCCACAGCCTCGGCGGGTACAGGTACTGCCGAGCTGCCACGGCCCCGGGAACCAGCAGGAGGCCCTTCTCAGAGCATACACAGCTCCACAGGGAGGCCACAGGGCACCCAACCCGATGCCCCTCCATCTGGGGCACCGCCAGTGGCTGGGCCCCTCCTCCATCCTTTGTTGTGAGTCAGGGTCCTTCTGGTACTGCAGACGGGGTGGTCTTCCTTCCCTCAGGGGATCCAATCCGGGACGAAGCACTCACCGGCAGACACGCGCACACATGCACCTACACACAGAAACACGCATGCACACACGTACACACACAGGTGTGCACAGCGTGACCACCTCTCCAACACCACCAAGCAGCCGAGCCACATACTCTGCCACACGAGACCTGGTGGGTGTTCCCGTGGGACAGATGACTCCCACCTCACAGTGGCAGAGTCACCAGCCCACTGCTACAGAGCCAGCATTCAAGCCCTGCCGGGAATCCTTCCCTAGCAGGAACAGGGGGGTCACCCGCACCTACACACATAGGAGCTCGCACACACATGCACATGCGCGCGCACGCACACACACACATACACACACATCACTGCCATTTGCACCCTGGTCTGGGGGTCGGGCACAGGAGCAAATCGAGGCAGGGAGGAAATAGAGGGCAGCACTGGGGTGCCCAGTCTGTCCCCCTTCAGATCCACACCTGCAGGCCCCCCAACCCTGCCTCCAGCCTCCCCAGCAAACAGGCCTGGGCTCAGCCTGGTGTTAGGCCCAGAATGCTGTGGAACGAGTACTTGGGCTGCCTGCCTCTGCAGGCCCACTGTTGGCCACGGAGATGCTATCAGCCACAGCATCCCTCAGCCGCCAGCTCTCGGCGGGAATCCTGCCGGTCCTGGAGTCAAGGCGGCCCCTCCCCGCAGCAGGGCCACCCCACAGGGAGACCTGGGCCCACCTGGTGGCCGGCCAACCCCAAACTCCCTCCTGGAGCCGAGTCCAGGGGACAAGAGACGGGGCGGAGGAATGTGTGGACTCGTGTGGCATCAAGCCCGTGGGCAAAGCCGCCCACAGCAGGCCTGGAACTTAGCGGGGCTGGACCTCTGAGGCCGCCCATCCAGAGTGTAGCTGTGTACTGGGACCACAGGCTCAGGAGATTATAAGACGGCCCGCCTGCAGAAGAGCCTGGGGGTGGCAGGGCCCGCAGGGCAGAGGAAGCTCAACCCTCCGACAGCCGCCACACTGAGCAGCCGTCTGCCGCCCACCGGGGAGCCCCAGCCCGTTTTGTGGTTGTTGTGTTTAGGGCACGAGAGCACTTTGTAGGAGGTTTTTACAGCACGTTCATGACTCATAAATCCAGCCAGAGACAAAAGGGAGGAGGGCCCTCGACAGGACCAGGTATTTATCTAACGGCCCTTAAATCAAGCCTCGAGGCTGTGGCTGCCACAGGGACAGGGAAGACACAGGACCTGCAGCCAGCAGGAATCGGGGTGCGGCAAATGGGTGCAGCCGGCCGAGCTGTGCCAGCCCCACGGTGCCCCTCCCACACCCACCTCTTGGTCTGGGGAGCGTGGGCAGCATTAGGGCACAGGCTGGAGGGCAGAGAGCACGTGGGATGCAGCAGGGGCACCAGGAGGGCCAGGCACTCCCAGGCCTCGGGGGACCAGCGTGGGAGACCGAACAGCAGGCACTCGGGCAACAGTCGGCCTCGGCAGGGGGCATGTGGGCTGAGGGTCCTCTCCAGGGCTTGGAGCTGCAGCCAGGCCCAAGGTCCGACCTGCCTTCCCTCGGGCTCCAGCCTAGACCCCTCCCTGAGCTGTGCCAGATGGGCCAGGTGTCCACGCCCAAGCTTCCCAGTCAGCTTCTCTGCACCCTTGGGGCCCTGCCCCGTCACACTCTCAATAGACCGGGGCTCACAACGCCATGCCCAACACGATGTCCGGCACCAGGGGCTGGCAGCAAGCTTGAGAAGGAGTAAGGGCAGGCGATAAACCAAGCTGGAGAGAGGCACGGCGTTCCACAACCTCCACACCTGGGCACACGCCTGCCCACCGCCTGCCCCAGCTCACTCCACCCCTTGCATGGTTCCCATCCTTTGGGGATGGCGCTGCACTCGCCACCTTCAGGAAGCCTTCCCTCACCACGCGCAGCACCCACAGGAAGTGGAGGGGGCACTGGCTTCCTCTGCCTGTCGCTGCGGGGTCATTAGCCTGGCACATGACCTTGGACGAGGCCTGCAGGCACCCCGTTTCTCCACTTGCACAGCAAACACAGAGCTACACAAACTCCAGCACTCTAGGAACTGAGCACCCGATTGGGAAGACCTGCTCACAAGGCGCTGGGGCCCCACCGGCCCCTCCAGGAGGGGGACGCGGGCTGCACGAGGGCCTCCACCCTGCACCGCACAGCGACCTCGCAGCCCGGAGGAGGAAATGCTTCGGAGAGTGTGGCCCACCAAGGTTTCAGTTTCTCTAGAGAGGCAGAGTCCAGGCACACAGCCAACCCAGATAGAAGGAGATGCACGTGCCCACCATCAGGACGCTCGTCGTGGGGACACCCGTCCAGGCCCCACTCCTCAGGGACCTGCCAGGGCTGTGGGCACGAGACAAGACCCCAATCCACAGGAGCGGCCACCACACAGGAGGCCACGGGTGGCACCTGCAGCTCCAGGCGCAGAGCAGCAAGCTCTGCCCCACGGGACAGGTGTGCACGCCCACAGACCCTGTCACTCACCGTGGGGGCACCAAGCTGTGGCAAGGAAGAGGTGAAAGCCCAGGCCCGTGGCAAAGTGGGCCAGAGGCCACAGGGTGCCCGGAGGCTGAGGCAGGGGGAGCAACCAGACCACATCCTGAGACTCAGCAGCACACAGCCCATGTAAATCTCAATAAAACAGGCTCCAAAGCCTGCTCCCCAGGTCCTGCAGATCGGGCCGCCTGCTCCCACCAGGGCAGGAACGACAGCAGCCTCCTTGTCCCCACACGGGCACACTCCCACCCCGCTACCAGCGCTCCCCTGCCCAGCTGCACCCCGCTGGGCGCTGTGGGCGTGGCTCTGCCCTCTGCCCACTGAGGAGCAGGGTCGAGGCAGGGGCACCCTTGGCAAGCTTCGAGGCCCAGGCTGGACTCTGTGCCCAAACCCCGGCACCCTGAGCGAGTTGGGCCGGAGGTGGAGGTGGAGGGTCCTGCCGCCCTGTGCCCCCACCTACCTTCCCGCTTCATGCCCATGGCCAGGCACTTCTGGTAGCGGCAGTACTGGCAGCGGTTGCGCTGCCGCTTGTCGATCAGGCAGTCCTTGTTATCACGGCAGGTGTAGGTCAGGTCCTTGCGCACGGTGCGCTTGAAAAAGCCCTTGCAGCCCTCGCAGCTGTACACGCCATAGTGCTTGCCTACGGGCAGAGTAGTGCATGAGAGCAGCCCCAGCCCGGGGCCCCCGGCTGGCTCTGACCCTGGCCTGGGCTGCTAGGCCCGCCTCGCCCGCCTGCTCATCCGCGGACGGCCACCCTCGCACTCCACTGCGGGTCTCAAGTCCGGGCCTGCAGGACCCTGGGGGCCAAGCACTGCCTCGGTCTCAGGCTGAGGGGTTCGGAGCATCTCGCAGGGCTCTGTCCAGCCCTTGGCCGCCCTAGATGTCACCCTCACTGGCCTTGCCACTCACAGACAGGAGGCGGGGCACGGAAGGGGCACCCCAGCTCCCAGCCCCCCACCCCGCCCCTGCCCACCCACGGCCCTACCTGAGGAGCGGTCCCCGCAGATGGCACAGATGTGCTTGGTGAAGGACGCCATGTTTCCTGAGGGGTGGGCAGGGACCTTGAGGACTCCATTGAGCCCCAGGGGGGGCTTGATGTCCTCGCTGCTGCTCACGGGGTTCATGGGCGAGCTGAGCTGCGGAGGGTCGTCCGGCAGGGTCAGGCGCAGGCACACTGGTGCCAGGTGCCTGGTGGGCCCAACCCCACGTCCTCCCACCTCACAGGGGTCCCTCAGGCCACACAGCTGAGGGACATTCGGGCTACATTCCTCAAGAGGGCCAGGCTCAGGGTCCCCGTCTCCTGCCAGGCCCCAGGCTGCTGCAGACTCACAGACCGGGGACCCCTGCACCCCGCTGCACAGGAGGGTCCCACCCAGCCTCAAGGGCCGCCTGAGGTCACTGAGCTGGGTTGGCTGCTCCCTGGCCGCCCTGTGAGGAAGGCAGAGGAGGCTGGGTCTTCCCGGCCACGCATGCCGCGCACACTGCAGGGCGGTGGTCTCCACACACGGGGTGGGGGGGCACCCCCATCGGCAGCTCAACCTCTGCACACCCTCGGCCCCACCCGCCAGCCGCCAGGGCAGGCGTGGGAAACTCACCCGGTCGCCCTGGCAACAGCTGCGGCGTGCAATGACACAGCAGTTTTGGTTCCGCTGCCTCCAGCCCAGCTCTGCAGTCAGCACACTGGGCCGGAGGCACCGCCAGCCCTGCATCCCGCCAGCCTGCCGCACACAGCCCCAGCTGCGCAGTCCCCCCACTTCTGCAAACCCCTGATGGAGTGGAGAGCGGTCTGCGCAGCTGTCTCCGGGCACCACCCTGCCCTCGGGTAGCCCCAACCACCCCTCAGGAGGAACCTCGCCTCCTTCCCTCTCAGCACCGGAGCCCCATCCCCCGTCCTCAAGGACGGGACTGGCGGCGCCCAGCGCCCAAAGCCTTCGTTCCCTGGAGCCTGGGCACCCAGAGGAATTTCCCAGTCCACCCAGACGAGGGTGCTGCATTCCTGAGGGCCTCACTGCAGCCCAGGGCAGTCCCTGTCACCACTGGCCGAATGCCCTGTGTACTGGTCCCCAGGCACCAGAGACAGGCCAGGCCCAGGTGTGGGCAGGGGCTGCTGGGTCACCCACAGCTTGCGCCCCAGCAGAGGGAAGGCCCAGGGCCGGGGGACAGGGGGGCTTCTCGGTGCCATGAGAACCTGGCCTCAATGACAGGGCCGGGCCCCGGGACGATGCTAGGGAGGAACCTCGCTCATTTCCTTTCTGTGGCTGCCCCAAACCACATGGAGGTCTACACTTCTTGCCCCTGCATACAGGCCCTAGGGAAACTGATGCAGGGCTGGCCACAGCCCCCCAGCAAGGACAGGTCAGGACATAGTGGGGAGTCACACTCCCCTCAGTCCCTGCCAGGCTGGGCCTGTTCCCAGGGCATCCCGGGCAAACCAGAGGCCCTGGGCAGCCCTAACTGCTTGAGCAGGCTAAAGTGAAGGCCTGGCTGCAGGGCCTGGGGCCACCCCAGGGATGGGGGGCATCTTTCTGCCCTGCCCAGCACCAAGCCAATGGCCCAGGTCCCAGATCCAAAGCTCCCAGCATGGAGTTTGGGGCACCCCCCCCATATTGGAGACTCCTGCACTCTGGCGGTGGCCCTTCCGCCGCCCTTCGCTGGAACCCGAGCCCTCCTGTGGCAGGGCATTTCCCCTTTCGCATCCTTGGGGTGCATTTCAGTTCCTTCCTCACCAGCACCCCACCCTGTCCTTGCCCATCTCCCTGCTACTTTCTCAGGAACCCACCACACCCCGTCCTCCTGGGCCCACCTCCCAGGCCTAGACCCTCAACTCCATGTGTGTCTGCCAGCCAATGGGCCTCCCGAGCGTGGCTCTGCCCAGCCCCGCGGGCTCCCATCCCCCCTGGTGCAGGGCAGCCTGGCCTCGATGAGTAGACCTCGAGGGGGCAGAGCTGGGCAGAAGGTGGGCCTTGCCCATCACATCAGGAGTCAAAGGACCTCGCTGGCTTGGGCAGCTGGGTCCATGGCTGGTGCTGGGGACCGGGGTCAGACACATTCCAGACTCCGCTCACACAACCATCAACACAGGGGTCTGAGGCAGGCTGCACGTGGCTCCCAGGCACAGAGCTGCATGTTCCAGTGGAACCAAAGCCTCCAGGTGGCCAGAGAGCAAGGACAGGCTCAGACAGGGCTGCGGGCCAGGAGGGAAGGCCTGGGTTTGCTCCCTGCCTCGTTAGCTTCAAGGCGCCGTCAGGCCCCTCACTCACAGCCTGGGAAGACGGGGTCCAGAGTGGACCCCTTCCGCACAGAGCACAGGAAGCAACAGAAGAGGACCATCACAGCCCCGAAGCCGTGCCACTGCCAGAGCTACACCACCCTGCTGTGTACCACGGGCGGCACCAGGCCAGGGCTGTGGGCAGTGCCCAGTCTTGGGGAGCTACAAGGACAGCAGGCGCCACCCGCAGGGAAGCCAAGCCCATGCACACATCTGCCTTCTCACCGCATGGCACCGGGCAGGAGCAGGAATGGCGTGGGGCAGCCATGCTAAAAATAGCACAGCCAGGCCCAGAGAGGTGGCCCAGCCTCCCTCATGCCAGCAGCGTGGGCTCTGCGTGCCCCTGGAAGGCCAGCAGACATGGACAGTTCCTCCACACCTACCCCCAGGGGCAAAAGCCTTCAAAGGGGCTGGCCATTCTCCAGGGGAAGGGGCTTGAGAGGGCCCAGGTGGTCAGACAGTGGCCGGCTCTGGTGCTGAGCACACCCAGGCCTACTGGCCAGGGGTGCGAGGGGTGCAGGAGGTGGGGGCTCAATGGGTCCAGGGGCCTCGGAGTCCTGGGGGCTCTGGCCAGGAACCACTGTGAGTCGGCCACAGAGCTCTCTGCCACAGACCTTCAGCCACGGGGACCAAAGACAGAATCCAAGCTATGAAACAGATCAGGAAGGGAGGTCTCCTGCCTATTTTAGGAAGGACAGACAGGGCCCCCCAGAGCCGGCAGCAGGTGGAGGGCCTGGAGCACAAGGCAGAAATCCAGCAGGAGATCCAGCCAGAACCAAGCAGCAGCCAGTCGGGGAAGCCCCACTCCTCACTGGGAAGTGGACCCCTAGGTCCCCAGAGAAAGACCTGGACCGTGCCAACCCCCACCAGGCACCAGCTGCTTCCAGAGCCAGAAGCAACCAAAAAGCCCAGGCGGTGGAGGAGAAGCCTCTGATCGGGCCCTAACTGCAAAGGCCCCCTTGCCCTGTGCACCCACAAGAGCCCGAGGCATCGAGGCCAAGGGCCAGCATCCCCACACAGAGCCTGGATACCCACCCCCGCGGGCCACCAAGACGCAGTGCACGCGCACAGAGAACTCAGCGCACTCAGCCCCAGGCCTGCTGCAGAGGCAGAGCCCCCAGAGCTCGCCAGCGCCCCCAGCTGGGCAGGGCTGGGGCAGGCAGAGGAGGGAGCCAGGCCCAGAGCAGCCATAGCTGAGGCCTGCAGGTGACGCCCGCCACCCATCCAGCCCCCTGCCCAGCCCCTGCACTCACCTGGGGGCTGCCAGTGCCAAAGCCCAGGGTGGGCGTGGTGGGCACGGACATGGAGTGGGGGCCCATGGGCGAGCTGATGACAGAGAAGGGTGGACCCATGCCATTGATGGGCGAGCTCAGCGTGCTGATGGGCGAATGCAGCTGCCCCGGGGAGCCCAGCGAGGAGCCAATGGCAGGGCCCAGCGCGGGGTGCAGCGAAGGGGCAGCCATGGAGCCCCGGCCTGTCGGGGAGTTGAGGGAGGAGGAGTTCACTTGGGCGGAGAAGTCTGCAAGACAAGAGTGCACAGGAGGGGTCACACCGCCTGCTCACACCCAGGAGCTCAAGCGCCTGACGCTCACCAAGGCCGGCACAATCACATCAGGCAGGGGCCGGAGACCCTGGGGGAGCTCAGGGACACACCGAGAAGAAGGCTGAGGCAGGAGGAGCCCCCCTCAGCCCAACAGCACCTGGTGGAAGGGCCAGGGCAATGTGGCACAAGGAGAGACACAGCAGGCGCTCCGGGAGCCCACTCTGCAGATGGAGCAAGCAAGGCCTGGGGTGCTCGCAGCTGCCTATGCAGAGCCAGGATGGGCCCTGGAGGCTCCAAAGCTGTAGCCTCACCTACCAGGCCACAGTGCCCAGGTCTCACAGCCCTGCCAGCCTTCAGGTCCCTCTGCCTCTCAGGGAGCCCAGAGGCAGAAGGGGCACCTAGCACCCCCTCTCTGGCTGGAAGCTTCCAGGCAGCCTCGGGGAGGGCTGGGCATATGCCAGGCGTGAGACTGACAGCCCACAGTGGGCTAAGGCTGGGACCACCCACGCGCCAGCCTTTTAGGCTGGGATTTCAAAGCCCCGAATGAGCACTTCATTAGGCCCTGCGCCTGAGGCTACAGAAGCCCCCAAGTGGTGCATCCATTGCCGCTGCCCTACGGGCCACCAAGCAGGGAGACACAGGGGCCGGATGCAGCAAGGACCCGGCAGCTCACGCCCAGGCGCCCCAGGCACGGCCACAGCTTCCATGTGCAGCATGGCCTGGCCCTTCCTGGCAGCCTTGCTGAGGCCTCGTGTGCCTCAGGGAAGTGAGGCAGACCCAGAGCACAAGGAGAGGCTGCCTCCGCCGCCCCGGACACCGGCACACTCACTGGCAGTGGCTGTGTCCCGGCCCGGGAAGTGACCCTAAGTCACCAGCCTGAGGACCACCACTGCCACCGCACTCAGCACTCAGTCCGGCCAGCTCCAGGTCTCGGGAAGAAGGCCACGGAGGTGCCGCACAGGGCTCGGAGGACCCAGCAGCTGTGCCAACGCCACACAGAGGCCGCAGGGCCATGGAAGGCCTCCCACAGGCCCCACCTCCAGGGAGGTGCCTTAGCTCATACCCACCCTCCAGCCACCTGGGCACTTCCTCCGACCAGGGGGCCTGGGTTCCCAGTCAGCCCAGGACCCCGGGACCAGGTCCAACTGTGGAGGGTAGGGTCTGGCTGCCACGAGTGGACTTAGGGACACACTCCACCAACAACCAAGACTGTGTGGGAGCCACTGCACGCCACTGCGAGCCTCTGTCACTCATATCATTAGTGACAAATCATTTCCTCAAACTTCAAAATGTCAGCGTGAAGGATTCCAGAACTAGACAGCGGAGGCAGTGACCGCCCAGTGGGCACTGCCAGTCAGCCCCATGAGCCACACAGGGGCCTGGGGTCCCCATTGCAGGGAATGTCCCCAGAAGGGCCCCGGACAGGCAGCCAGGGGAGGACCCGAGAAGCAGGCAATGTCCCCAAGAGAAGCGCAGAATCAGCCGCTCATGAGAGTCAGACACACCCCTGCATCCTCGCTGTCACGGAATCCCTGCCACTGTCGGGGAAGCCACCGCCACTTGCCTCTGACACATGGGATATGGGCAGAGAAGGTGAAAGACGGAAGCCGCCCACGGGCACACATCCTGCGGGCTGCAGTGGCCCCTGGCTAAGCGACGCTCACTCCCACGGGCACCAGCGTGGCCCGCCACAGCCCCGCCCCAGCTCCCCCTTTGCAAGCCTGTTTTTCACCTGTGCCTGGGCACACACGGTAGGCCAGGCCCTGTACCATGTCCCTGAGTACAACCGACAGACAACCGCCAACTCTGGGGCAAGGACAGAGCTCAAGCTGATGGGGCCTCAGAGAGCAGGGGCAGCATGTGGGTGTCAGAGAACTTGAGCCTCCCTCCCAAGGCCCCGGCCGCCCCCGGGAAGCCACCTCTGCCTTCCCCGCCTCCCAGAAGGTGGTGGTGATTCTACAGCCAAGCAGCAGCCCCTCCCAGACTCTCCTCACTTTTGTCCCCCACCACCTGCTCGGGGTCACGGAGGGCTGGGGTATTGGGCCCCGTGTGGCCAGATGAACTGGCCAGCTGCTGCAGCATCTGGGTGGCTTTTTTTTTTCTTTTTTATCAGTACTGGGATTGAACCCAGGGTCTTTGCACTGAGCTACACCCTCAGCACATTTTTATTTTTTGTTTTGAGACAGTGTCTCCCTAAGTTGCCCAGGCTGGGATCGAACTCACAATCTTCCTGCTTCATCTTCCCACAGCGCTGAGATTACAGGCGTGCGGCACCACACTCAGCTTGGGAGGGACACCTCTCCTCGGCCAGCTGTCCCCGGACACAGGTAGGGCTGGCCATGCCCAAAACGAGAGGGCCCAGTCAGGAGGAAGGGGCCTCTCTTGGCCTCAGATTCCAGGCCACACCCCTGTGGCCCCACCAGGAGGCGTCAGGCAAAGGCCTGGATTCAGCTGGCCACATGCGGGCAGCCTTGGCTCAAGCTGGCTGGCTGTCGGCCTGCCCTTCCCAGGAGGACTAGGAGGAAGGGACAGGAGAGAGCCTCACCAGAAGAAAGGAAAGAGGGAGGAAAGCACTGTCTGGCTGCCAGCCACCAAGCTGAACCCCAAAGCGCCCCAGACCCCTGTCGAGGCACCCACACTTGGCCCAAGGTCGAGAGGATGCCGATCACACGGAGGGGAGGACCGGCCCAGAAAGTGCAGGGAGGAAGGAGAGGCAGCAGAGGTGGGAGGGCTCCCCATGAAGGTCCCTGCTGTCCGCCCCAGCCCCGGGTACCCAGGCACAGCCACCCCAGCAGTGCCCGCCTTGGCCCAGCTGTGCCCCAGCCCCAGCCTGGGCCTTGCTGTTGACACAGAATGCTGCAGCAGACACGTTCCCAGAGCCTAGGCGAGGGCGACGGGAGCCGGCTGTGTGTCTGCAGCCACTCTGAGGCCCAGAAGAAAACCAGCAAACACCTCACATCCCTGACCTGCAGAGAAAGCCCGGCCCCCACCTGTGCCCGAGCGCCCGACTCTGCCTTCCAGGCTGCCATCGGCCCACCGGAGCTGCAGCCTCAATGGCGGTGTCACTCTGGGAGCGTCACACAGCGGACGCTCGGGAACCTCCACGCCAGCTGGCCCCTGCCCACACCCCCCAGCCCTCCCAGCCCTCCCAGCCCTTCACGGCAGAGGCGTCTCCCAGGGACAGGGCCCAAGAGGCAAAACCGAGTCACCCACTCCTGAAAACAGAGTCGGGGACACCCGGGCCCTCGAGCCCAGACCCTCACCGCCCAACACCCAGCACCCCTGCAGCCAGTGCGACTCGGGACTGGGGAAGGAAGGCACTCACAGGCACCTCCGGGGATGGGAAAGAGAGGAGAGAGGGCAGCAGACGCAGCAAGGGACGCGCCTGGCAGCCCATATAGGAGCAGCGGTGTTGCAGCCAGGGGAAGAGGCAGCGCAGCGATTCCCCTTGGCAGGAGGCTGACTCAAATGTAAACTTCTGGTGGCAGAGGTGCCAAGAGCAGGCAGGGAAGCTCCCAGGTCCCCAGCATGGTGTGGGGGGGTGCACAGTGACATTCTGTAAAACTGAAATAAAAAACGCTCTCACACTAACCGCTGCCCCATGGCCGGGCGCCGGGAGGGGGTGGTGGCAGCACCCCAGGATGTGCTTATAGGCTCCTGAGCTGCATGGCTCCCTCCAGAGTGCCCACTGGCACCACCCCACCACCACCACCCCACACCACAGGAAGCCCAGGGAACCCCCAAATGCCCCTTCGGGCCTCTGCCCCCCAGGCAGGGGAGGCAGAGGGGGTGGCAGGAAATGCCAGCCCACTGCAGCAGGGGCGGGGGTTGCCCAGGCCTCCAAGCCCCACTTCCCAGCAGCCAGGGAGCCCCCTCAGCCCTCTGAATTCCCAAGAGCAATCAGGCCACAGCTGGGGACATTGCACTGCCATCTAGGCCAGCAGGATGTCCCAGAGCAGGAGGTGGGGCTGCGGTGGGCGGGACTCAGAGGGGCGGAGAGCCAGCACCAGACAGAACAGGCACCCCCATCCCCGCTTGGGGAACCCCCCGGAACTGAAACCCTGTAGCGGGCAGCTAGAGAGCCCCCAGAGCTTCCTGAGACACCCACCTCCGGCTCCCACCTTCCGGAAGTACCACTTCCCCTGCTGCCGGGGGGAGGCAGGAGTGGAGGCCTGGCAGGGACCATGCTGCACCAGGGTCTGGGGGAAGCCGAGGGTGGTCAGAGCAGGAGGAAGGAGGACACAGGCCTACCAGGGAGGGGTCTTCAGGAACAGGAAGGCTGACCAGGCCCAAAGGCATCTGGCACACAGACAATGAGAACAGTCCACAGGGCTCACTGCTGCCCGGCCAAGGCAACCCCAAAAACCTCGCTGAGCCTCAGTTTCCCCTCCTATGAAATGGTCATACAACAGTGGCGGTTCTGTGACCATGCGGAGGAACAGCCCCTGAAGGCCTCCTGAGCTCTTGGCCCTCCTGCCAGCCCATACCCCACCTTCCCACAGGGGCAGCAGAGATGGGGCTGTCACTGCCCGCTGGGAGCATGGCCCACAGCTGCCACCGCCTACGTGTCACCTTACAGCTCAGGTGGCCCTGGCTGAAATTTCAGCCTTCCTAGGGTCACTCCGGCCTTTCCCCCAACCAAGGCCCCAGCCACAAATCTCAGCTCCTTGAGGAGGTCCCAGGACCAGGGTGGCCTCATAACAGGAGAAAGCTGGGCCCTCCCGAGGGCCTGGGCTCCAAAGCGGGGAACACAGGGAAGGGGGCCTCCGCTCCAAGAGGAATCCAGTCCCCTGCCCCAGAAACCAGGCACCCACAGGGACTGGAACTCAAGCTCCCCCTGTGAGCTACAGCAGCCCAGACCCGGGAGCAGCAGCAGGTGAGGAGACACAGGGATCCAAAGCAGGTGCCTCTGACCCCGGCAGGCCCCACAGAGACCGGCCAGCCTGCCCCGCCCAACCTTCCCTGACACAGTGGCACCCAGGTCACCCACCCCTGCAAGTAGAGCCCTCAGTCAGGAGGGAGAGCGATGAGGAAGGGGCAGAGTGGACCCCACCACAATCCTGCTGGCCCCGAGGACACATGGGAGCTGGGAGTGGCCAGGCGTTGTGGCCTCAGTGTGGACCCAGGAGACTGATGTCCCCTGAGAGCTGGAGACACCCAGGCCAGTGGAGCAAGCACAGACACGCAGGCAGGTGAAGGGTCTGAAATCCTGTCCATCCACTGCTTCTGCAAGCCCCACCCACACCCCAGTCAATCTGCCGGGCCCCCGAGGGCCTGCAGCCACGTCCTCCTGATGGTCCTTCAGCTTCCTGTCCCCTTCCCCCAGGAGGTACCGCATGCGGGGCTCTCCCTCCCTGGATTCACCTATCCCATGGGGGCTTTGACAGTAGAAACTTTTCAGGTCCCCTCGTGTGGGATCAGAGACAGCACGAACAGGGGGCTCAGGAGATGGGGTGCTGAGGGGTGTGGCACATGGACATGGCTGACAGCGCAGTCCCCAGGGGAATGGGACAAGCGCAGGACAGGATCTTTAACTGCAGGAGCCTCAGCCAGAGCCTCCCCAGAGAACTCAAGGAAGGGCACCACACTCCTCGTCCCTCTCTGAGTCTTAGCCAGGAGATGCCTAAGTCCCCTCAGTCCTAGCAGATCTCAAACTCCTGGGGCACTGGGCACCCCTTGCTAGGATCCTCACAGATGCAGCCCCCACTGAGGGCCAAACATTCTAACCAGGACAGATAATCCACAATAAAGCTCAGGGTAGAGTGATGTCTGTGAAGGCGTCAGCTGACAGTGGCTTATACATCGGCACCATCATCGCCCTCACCACCATCACCGTCACCACCATCACCGCCATCACCATCACCGCTATCACCACCATCACCATCACCACCATCACCGCCATCACCACCATCACCATCACCACCATCAACATCACCATCACTGTCATCACCGCCATCACCATCACCATCACCATCACCACCATCACCATCACCACCATCAACATCACGTCCACTGTCATCACCGCCATCACCATCACCATCACCATCACCACCACCACCACCACCACCATCACCGCCATCACCACCATCACCATCACCACCATCACCATCACCGCCATCACCATCACCACCAACACCACCATCACCATCACCATCACCACCATCACCATCACCACCATCATCATCACCATCATCATCACCATCACCACCATCACCACCATCACCACCATCATCACCACCATCACCACCATCACCACCATCAACATCACCATCACCATCACCGCCATCACCATCACCATCATCATCACCATCACCACCATCACCACCATCACCATCACCACCATCACCATCACCATCCCCCCTCTCAATCACTATCATCACCATCACCACCATCACCACCATCACCATCACCACCATCACCATCACCATCACCACCATCAACATCACCATCACCACCATCACCGCCATCACCACCATCATCATTGCTACCACTATATACAGCATCACCATAATCGCAATCATCACCACCACCACCACCATCATCAACACCATGGTTACCAACATCACAGTCACCATTACCACCTTACATCAGCATCATCACCACCATTAGCATCATCACGCCCATTTTCACCACCATCACCACCACCGGCCTCACAGTCGGTCACCACTGCCACCTCACACCGTCGCCAGCATCCTCACCATCACCCGAGGGACATCCTGCCCTGCCCTGCTCTGCCATGGGGATGGGAGGGTTGAAGCCCAGAGAGATGAATGGGTTTTTGCAAGTGGCAAAGGTTTTTGCAAGTGGTGTCTGGGGTTCTCTTAGCAAGTTTGGTGTTGGCCAGCAGCAGGGGGAGAAACAGGAAGTGGTGGGGAGCTGGCATCCACCTCTCACACAGCCAGGGATGCTGTGGTTGGCCTGGCAATAACAGGTGTGGCTGAAGCCAAGCCACAGCGGGGGAAGCAGACAGTGCAGCCAGGAGGAAGGAGGTGGTCAGGAGGGGCTGCCATGACCAGCCAGCTCCTGCACCCAGGCAGCTTTCAGGAAAGAGCTGACCACAACCTAAGTGCTGGGCCCTAGTCTGCACGAAGGCACCGCTCCATGCCCACTCTGCTGAAGCCCGTGGTCCAGGGAGCTGTGACCACAGCCTCACATCAGGCCCAGATCACTGCTGTGACCCACCTCAGCTGGGGCTAACACTGCTGAACCACCATGGTGCAGAGGGAGAAACCGAGTCCCAGAGCTGCATATACTCCCAGACTTCGGGCTGGGAGACACGTTGGGTGAAGGGGACCCGTAGGGGCACACCCTGGCCAAGCGGCTGGACAGCTTTGCCGAGCTCCTCCCAGCCCCCTACCCTGCCTGACCCAGGCCCCGTGCTGTGCCGCACCCTCCCTTCGCCACTGTGTGCACCTGGAGCGTCAGAGAGGAGCCCCCACGGCTGCTGTTCGCAGCTCTGGGTGAGCAGGTCCTGGGACTGCTGCACAGTCAGCCGCCGCCGGCTCCATCGGCACATGGCGCAGGCCTCCAGAGGTGGGCTCCTGATGAACCCAGGGCTTCCCAGTTCAGTGCAGGGCTGGGGCTTCAGAAGCCAGGTGACCACCTGCAGAGAGCCCCTTGCAGGCTGTACTTGAGTCTGTACGGAGTGTACAGGGCCACGGGACCCAGAGACCCAAGCCTGGCCCTGAGCACCCCGTACCCCAGGTGCTGCTCCTCCATCCACCCAGGGGGAGACCTCCAGGGGTGCCACGCCCAAGGCCAGGCCTCGTGCCATCCCCTGCAGTGCCTGCACAATGCAGCCCAAGCGCACAGGCAGGACCAGGGCCCAATGACTGAAGCATCGGACTTTACCAAGAAGCACCCGAGCCCCCTCTGAGACAGCTGGAGGGAGACAGAGATTCAGGGGGTCTCACCAGCGGGGCCAGCACAAGGGAATCAGGAGATCGTGGCAGCAGGTTCACTCAGCCTGGGGCCAGCGTCCCTCAGTGGGTCCCATACTCGAACCCCAAGGCAACAGCAGGTGGATGAGGGAGCCCAAGAATCCTGAGAGCCAGTTCCCAGCCCAGGGTGCAGGATGCCCCTGCCCAGGCGGTCTTGACCCGATTTCTAGCAGCCATCACACCTCCTGCCAGTGTCCTTAGAAGCACTGCCAGGGCAGAGGCCAGAGGGGGGCAAGAGTCACCGTCCCCCACTTGCTGGAGTTCCCATGGGAGAAAAGCCACAGACAGAACAGGGCCACTGTGGAACTGGGAGCTGCAACTGCCCTGCTACGTGGCATCTTCTGCGCCCCTCACCCTGCACAGCAGACTCGGATAACCCAGGGCCGCTCACTCACACACATGCGCGCGCACATACACACGCAGATGGGCAATGATGGCTTCCTACAAAAGGTGACAAAGACACGCTTGAAGTGGCAGCTGCTGCAGCTCAGGCACCAGCCAGCCATCAGCATCCGGCCGGAGCTTCATCGCACAGGCTCGTGGAGGGGCACAGCAGGACCAAGCCGCTGTCACAGCCCAGATGTTGGAGGGAAGGTGCCACCCAAGCCCAAGGCCAGCACAGCCCCCTGGACCATGGTGTCCCCACCACAGCTCACCCTCAGTTGCTGGAGTCAGACTAGACAGATGTCCCCAGGCCCTGGGGGTCCCAGAGTGGTGCCCACAGAGGCACAGATGCCAGCCCAGGACCTGGAAGGACGCTCACCTCCCCAAGGCCGGGCAGAGGCTCCTGGCACAGCCACCTCCCTCCAGACTGCCCCCAGCTGTCCCCCCTGACACACCAACGTGCTGGCCGACCTTCCAGAGATGGTGGGTAGGCGGGAAGGAGGGGAACTCCTGGAGAAACCCCAACCGTCCACAGCCGGAGGGCGAGGGGGCCCAGCCCACAGGCGGTGCAAGCAGTTTCTCTTCAACAGGAAAAGAAATGATTGTTTCACTTTGAGACAAATTGCTCCTGCTGGCTCAGAGGCCTCCCGCCCACCTGCCCACAGCTGTCGGGGAACCCGCAACATCTTTCCAGCAGCCCCAGGGCTGTTTTTCTCATCCTCCTTTGCATCACACTGGAAGGCACCCAGTGATGCCCATGGTGGAGTGAGGTGGGCTCGGTGCCACGGAGCCTCCAGGACATTGCACTGGGGACTCCAGGATGGTCCCAGGGCGGCTCCTCGGCCCGTGGGGGACTGGCCCCTCCTAGGAACATCTCCGAGTCCCTCCACACTCACCGAGCATCGACATTTTCTAGAAGTGGCACGGGTGCTCTGTGCCAACAAGGGATGGCCACCCAGGACCACAGGGTGGCCAGAGGCAGATGAGCAGGGGCTCCTGGAGGGTGGAGGCAGGGCCCCTTGACCTGGCCCCCATCACCTCACTGTTGAGGCCAGCACACCGGCTCCCACCCTCTCAGACAGGGCTTCCCTAGCCCATGTGACTCACCAGCAGTACCCAGGCTGGGTGTCCATCGCACGTGAGGGCCTGGCTTTGAGGCTGCTGTAGATGGACACAGTTGCTGCAACAGGACTCCCCAGGGATGGGCCTGTACCCCAGCTCTGGGGACCAGCACCAAGAACCCCATGCCCACCCCTGGCAGAAGCCACACTCCCTCTCACTCTGCTCAGCTCACCAAGGCTCCGGGCAAGATACCTGGTGGGCCCAGCTGAGCCTCAGAATGCCAAGTACTGAGTGCCCACTGTACCTCTGATGCCCACCCAGCTGAGACTCTGCAAGGCACCTGGTCACAGCAAGCAGCCCAGCCATGCCAGGTGCACATTCCCTTCCTTTTGGCCCCAGCAAGGTGGGGGGCACCAGTCTGCACAGGGGACAGGGCCGGCCCGGGAGGGAATTCCACCTAGGGGAGTGCGGGCAAGTGTGGCCAGGTGCTTGTCCCCAGATGTCACCCTCGTCCTCACAGAGCCACACTGAGGCCTTCGTGGGCCCCTCACCCCGCCCCACCCCAGCCATCAGGGGCAGCAGCAGTCACTGACCTGAAGGCACCAGGCTGGACAGGGGCTGCCTGCTCTGCAGCTCTCTGACCCAAGACCCCAAGGGAGACACAACCCAGCAGGCACCCACCTGAGGGGCTGCCAGAAGAGAGGGGACGGGGCGAGTGACAGGCAGCCCTGCCTGGCCTCCCTCCAGGGTGCAGGTGGCAGGGACCCTCATCCTCATCACCCTTTCAACGGCCCCTGTGCAGCCCCTCGCACAGGTGGCAGCCAGACCCGGCGCTAGCCAGACTCGGGGCAGCTCAGCACCCCCCACCACTGTCACTGCCCACCTGCTGCCTCCAAAACCTCCCCCAACCCTCCCGCAACCCCCAACACCCAAAGCATGTCCCCGGCTCCCCACAGTCTCCTTTGCCCAGTATGGCTGCTGTCCCTGCCCAGCACCCTTCCCGGCCACTCGGCCTCTCCAGCATGCATGACTCCAAGAGCTAAAAACGCACACCTGGCCTGCTCCACACACTTCTACTCGAGAGGCAGTGGGGGCAGCATCAAGCAAGAGAAAGCCAGCAACAGAGAAAAGACTAAAAGCAAGACAAACATCTGGCAGGCAGGTGCAGGAATCCTGTTCTGCAAGGGCTGGGACCCTGCTCCCAGCCATGAGAGAGCTGATGACCAGCACACCCTGCAGGACACTCGCAGCCACCAAATGCCCCAGGGACTCCGACAAGCACGCATATGGCTGCGCGCACACACACACACACACACACACACACACCTGAAACGCTCCTAAATCGTACACGTGCACACACATCTGTCCTACACACTCAGCGAATGTTCACCTGTTCCCAGCCCCCTGCTGCAGACCGCAGGGAAGGGGTCAGGGCCCCGGCGTCTGCCAGACACAGGCAACTGTGTGTGAACCCTAAGCTGCTCACCTCAGGACCAGCCAGCCTGGAGACATCCAGGCCCATAACGCACAGCCGAGCACCACAGGGGCAGGGGCAATGGAGGTCCCTGGGGGTAGCCCAAGACCCCTGTTGTCACCCCAAAACGGGTATCAGAGCTCAGACCCAGAAATAGCCTGCGATGCCTGCAGCCAGGTCTTCACACAGACATGGATCTGGAGAGGGCCTCACCTTCACCCCAGGCCCCCGAGCGAGGGCTCATCCCAGAGACTCCTGGTCCCTGGCTGACCAGGACCGGCCCAGGGTGGACGAACAGGCCAAGGTGCCCAGTAACTGACCCACACTTTAGAGGCGGGTGGCCCAGGTCAGGGACAATTGGTGCCTGGGCACACGGCGCTCCTAACCAGGTACCGCTCAGACACTGCCCACCCAGCCTTGCCCAGCGTCTATGCAGTCTGCTTGGCACCGAGGGAGGCCAGGCTGCACACTCACAAACCACAAGGAGTTGCAAAAGGACTGGCAAAATAAGACATTGGCAGCTCACGGGCCAGTGGAGTCTGGGTAAAAATCCCTCCAGAGCCTCCCTCAGTCTTGCAAATGTCCCTTCTCATCTGAACCTCAGTTTCCCCCAGAACCTAGCAAGAAAAAATGCATCCACACAGGGACATCTGGGAAGATGCATGTGGGGCTCACCCAGGCCCTGACATGTGCCCTGCACTGAATAAACAGCCAACCTTCTGTGAGGTCAGGGAAAAGGGTCTCAGCCTCTACTGGCTCCAGGGCACCTCCGACTGAGGGGCTGCAGCTGGCACTAGCTGCTCCTGTCAGCCTCCCCCTCCCAAGCCCAGCCCTGGGCAGCCCTGGGCAGCTGCAGCAGAGACCCCGGCTGACTGCAGCCACCCCAGTGTTTCAGGCAACCCAGGCCTCCAGATGCCCCTTGACGGGTGTCCCACCAGGCCCGGGGAGGACAGAGCTGCCCACCCCGCACCCCTCCAGGAGCACAAAAGCGGTGAGCCAGATCACAGGTCTCCTGGGCCCAGACTCAGCACCACCAGGTACCCCAAGCTGGGGCCCCCGGCCTCACCCCTCCTAGGCAGACCCATCACATGGCCCACACCCAAAGGACAAGACACAGCCCCAGAACCCCTCACCTGCCAGCCACCTGTGGTCCCCCGCCCTCCAGGCCAGTCCACCTCCAGAGAGAGAGGCCAGGAGGTGCAGCCTCATGGCGAGGCCCGGTGAGAGGTCCCACCATGGGGGCGGCCCCATCAGCCCCCCTCTGGCCGCTGCGGGATCCCAGAGCCTCGGGCGCTGCAGCGTGGCGGCCTGGAGGGGAGGTCAGCTGAGCAGGGTAGCCGGGCACTGGCCAGGCACAAGTGGCATTGGCGCCAGCCGTGGCCCAGTTCCCTTTTCCCAGAGCTGGCCCAGCCCACCACCCTCACCAGACACCTGCGACCACAGGCGGCTCCCAGTGGCCAAAACCAAGTACTTCCTGGAAGGGACAGGGCGCCGGCCTCATTTCCTCATCCAGAGGGGGCGGCCAAAGCCTACATGTGGGATGGACGGACCCCCCACCCGACCCCACAGAGGGCCAGACACGGTGGACGTGGGTTAAAATCCACTCCACCATGGTCAGCTGCTCAGCTGTGAGCAGATCGGGGAACCTGCTGAGCCCCTGCCTATGCAAGTGCAGGTGGGGCATCTGGCACTCAG